GGTAATGTAAACTTTTGCGTAGACACAGAATATAATTCTATGAACTGAAAACTTGTGTCTGATCTTTAGCAGAGCGGATTCTCACTTTTTAAATATTTTTTGTAATTACAAATATAGTAGTTCAATTCAGACCTCCAGCTGAAACTTAAATTCTTTTGAAATCATTTGAATATTTATTTACTAACCTTACGATTCCCGTGATTTTAATCCACAAACAATTATTGAGTCTGCAGCCTTTAAAAAGACGTCATAATTACGTTAGTTTAGTAGTCATTTGTAATGATATTGCTTTCGCAGTTCTTACTTGTTTTCAACATAAGCACCTGTGATTCTTCAGTCAAAATGAAATAAATTTTTAAACTCAAATTATTATTTTTAGTTTAAAGTTTCGGTCGCTAAATTTTCCTTTGCAGTTTAAAAAAATAAAAATAAAATTAATTCAATAATTAAATAATCCGCTGCATCGTACCCTCGTTTCGCATACGACGTAATGGCGGATGCTAAGTGCGCGACAGGCAAATGTGAAGATAAAACGTAAGATTAAGAACATACAAACACATACACATACATATATATATATAAATACATTTTAATGAATTTCCCTCTAGCATCACCTACGAAGCGGTCAAAGTCATCGCGACAATATCTGTCACGCATAAAAATCAAACCGGTTATCGGCATTATATGTGGCTCGGGTCTGGGCTCACTAACCGAAGCCATTACGAATGCGCAAAATATCGACTACAAGGACATACCCGGTTTTCCGGTCTCAACGGTTCCCGGACATGCAGGACGCCTCGTCATCGGCACGCTTGAGGTCTACCAGTGTTGGCAATGCAGGGACGCTTTCACTACTACGAAGGCTATCCATTGGTGAAGTGTTCGTTGCCCGTGCGTGTCATGAAAGTGATGGTATTGAGTACTTGATGGTGACCAATGCTGCGGGCGGCATAAATCCCACCTATAAGGTGGGTGATATTATGCTCATACGTGATCAATAAACTTCGTCGGCTTCTCTGGCAATTCGCCATTACGTGGACCGAACGATGAACGGCTGGGACCGCGTTTTCCACCCATGACCGATGCCTACAATCCCGAATTGATTAAGCGCGCTCTCGGTATAGCCAAAGAGATGGGTATACCGGACGTGGTTTAGGTGGGCACAATGCTTTCTAGGTGGTCCTAATTATGAAACCATTGCTGAGTGTAGATGTTGCACACTTGTGGCTGATGATGCTGTCGGCATGTCGACCGCACACGAGGGGTCTGGCCCAGCACTGTGGTCTGAAAGTGTTCGCTTCAGTCTTATCACCAACAAGTCATCACTGGACTACGAAAAGAAAGAGTATGCCAATCACGCTGAGGTCGTGGCGGTGGGTAAAAGTCGGGAGCACTTGCCGTGAGCTAATGTGTCGCATGATCAAATCTATAGCAGCGGAGCGTGGTGGCAGCGGACAGCAGACTGTGGCTGCACAACATGAGAAACGAGGGTTGCTGAGATGCAAGCAGGATTAGTGAAAACACAACCTATTTTTTTTATACTTTATTTAATTTACAGAAAAAGTCGAAATCATGCAAAATTTTACTGAAATTTTTTTACAATAAATTAAGCCGCTTTTATAAAAAAGTGTGTCTCTTTTCTATAATCGCCGTAACGAAACGAAGAGAAAGTACTTCTCAGGCATAACATTTTTTTTTAAGTTCTGCAGCAACAATAAGAAAACTTTTACTTCCACGTTATAGCGAATAGTTTTCCTATAATCCACATTTTTACTAAAATTCGCTTGGCTATAAATTGAATTTAATATTTTATAAAAAATGCTGCAACAACAACAACAAAACTTTTACTCCAAATTATAGCGCATGCATTTCCTTGTCATCCAGTTTTTATCAAAATCCGCTATGGCTAACAGTTCAGACTGGCGAAGTGCGGAAATTGCATTTTTTAAAGTTGAAAAGCAACACACACACAAATATGTTCAAATACGCAAGTGTAGCATACCCCAGGAGTTTGCTTGAAATATTGATGCAGGTTATTCCGCTGACCATTTTGCCTGTCGCGCTGCCAGGCGCCCAGAAGTCAACAGTAGGCGGCTGCCGAATGGAAAAATGCTTATAACTTCTAAACGGAGAGTCGTAGGCGGTTTTGGTAAAACTGGGTTTAGAGAAACGCGTATACTAAAATTGTGTTGAAAAAAGTTTGTTATGTTGAAGAACTGTTTCTAAAAATTAAATTTCAAGGTAAAGCTATGTTGAAAATGGAAAAAGTTTATAACTCTGAACGATGAGCGGTAGGCGGTTTCGGTAAAAATTGAAATGTAGGCAAGATATGCACTATAATTGAGTTAAAAGTTTTTAATATTATAGTTCCTAGAATATAGATTTTTTTACACAAAAATTTTCGTGCGTCTATATGTATTGTACTACATGAAATAAACGCAAGTATATTTGCTAGAAATTCAACTTTATTGAAATGTACTAAGCAATGTTAGCGCCCACCACAAGCGCTATGCTTTTGTATGCAATAACTAAGTAACAGTTAATTATAACAAGAAATTAATACAAAATAATATTTAACTTAAAAATGCGCATATATAAAATTATATTTATATTTTATAAAATAATATTAAAAATAAAATACATTAAAATAATTTGAACTAAATTTCGGGCGTTTTTTTGTAAATACATTTACAAAACATAAAAAATAAATACACACGTGTGTATAAAATATAATAGCACATAATACATAAAATTATACATACATACATGTGTATGTGTGTATAGTAACATAAAGAGCATGATTAGTATATAATACATAATAAAGTACACAAACAAAAAGTGTGCTAAAACGATGCTTTAAAATAAACTATACAAACGAACCATTTAAGTTATATTTATGTACAATTGTATGTGTTTTAATTTAAAAATATAGAATACATACATATGTAAGTACAAATTGTTTATATATTTTTAAATGTTATTTTTTAATGTTTATTAATATTATATTTTGCATATATATTATTTTTTCACATTATAATTTTTATATAAATTTTTTTGTTGTTGATGTTGATGTTATATATATTTTTAAATATTATACTTTTTATTATGATAATTCTTTCAATTATTTTTTGCTAACATTAAAATATTTGTACATATTATAATTTTTATATTAAATTTCGTTTTAAATATTTGTTTATTTTTATAATTTATTATTAAATTGTTATTATTTTAATGTTGACTGCAATAATGTAAGTAAAAATACAAAACACAATATTTAGTAAAATGAAAACTTGCAAGTTTATGCACAATAGTGTACTTTTTGAAAATTTTTATAACAAAACAAATTTAAACTTTTCTTTAAAATTTTTAAATAGTTTATTGCTTTTAATTGCATATGTAGGCTATAAAATTTAGTTTTAAATCAATATGTGTGTAGCTTGTGCGCTGGTGCTGCCTTCAAGCAAGCAATTGATATTTAAATTTATAAATTTCAACTTTTTAATTAAGCTAGCTTAATTTTTGTTGTTATCATAATTTTTTTTAAATAGTTTAACTTTGCATTTGAATATATTTTATTTGCAAATTGTAAAATTTTATCAAAAAAAGCACGCGCATGCGCGCAGTGCTGCTAGATATGTGTGTGTGAGTGTTTGCATGTGTTAAGAACTTTTATATAAATATATAGATTTTTATATTTTTTTTTCAATAATTTTAATTTTAATTTAAGAGTATATATGCATGCATATGTATCGTATGTAGATGAGGCCTAAGTATATAATATTTATTAGAATCAATCGCTTGCATTTTTTGTGTATATATGTATGTATATATATTTTGTAAGCTTGTAAAATATGTAAAAAGTTATTAAATATTTTAGTGGTTGTTGTATTGCATATATGCATATATATATATATATATATATCAAAAATGATTGTGTTCATGTGCCGATGTGCGTCTGCGTGCACTCTCATATATGTATGTATGCTTTAAGTATTACAAAATATTATTCTCAATTTTTAGCGTATTTTTTTTCTTTTTTGTTTTGTTTTCAAAGGTTTTGGTTTTTACTTTAGCAGTTCTAGTCTTTAAGCAATTTTCACTTATTTAATTTAAATAGCAAAATATTATTTTTATGTTTTGTTGTTGTTTTTTTTCTGGTTTTTGTTTTTCATTCAAAAAAACTAAAATAAGCCACGTTCCTTCTTCAGATTGGTTTGCTTCCACACTGGCATCTGTTCGAATTCAGCGCTAGTCATGCCGAGCGCCGTCTGGAAGTCCGCTTCGTTTAAATACAATTCCAAGCGTGTCGGATCCACACCTTCGGGCAGTGGACGTTCCTTTAATATGGCAAGCGGATATTCGGTTTGGGTTAGTTGTTTTAGAACATCAGTGATGGGGGTGGGTTCATCAGTGCGACCATCCTACAAAATGAGAAAATGTGTTAACAATAAAAATATTTATACAGAGGTTTTTCGTTAAAGCATTTTTAATAAAAATAAAGGATCATGAAGACGAATCATAAGTCGCTAATAAAGTATTATCAATAGATAAAGTACTCACCTGCATGTTTATTTCTTTGATATCATCACGCTCAATCCAATCGGGAAAGAGAGCTTTGAAGGCCAATGGCTCTAGGCCAGCCCATATGACATAACCTTTAATGTCATGGAAGTCTTTTTCGTTATTTTCACCTAATTAACGAAATAGATAAAATAAAAACATGCATAATTAGCAACACTCACACACATTGTGGCAATAACACTTTGACTCAAACATACCAAATTTGGCGCACCAGTAAGAGACAGCTGTCTCCAAAGCAGCTCGTCGCTCCGATATCCAACGATTCACGCCGGCGCGATTCTCATTTGTTGGACTGCTGCGCTCTTCGGTGGTAACTAGAAAAAAATATTAAAACCATTAGTTTGCTTTTTACATAACAACAGCAACAAACTCACTTTTGAGATCCTCCAGCGGCCACCAGCCCATCCAAAGCCACAGCATATCACCGTCGTCGAACATAAAGATCGTCGGTTGTCGTGCATTGTACAATTGTGCCTGCGTGTATGGATATGGACTGTGCAAGTCCTGGCAACGCAGCGCATATTGCAATTCTGTGGCGCTAAACACGCCCTGCGTACTCGAGAAATGGAAGAGACGCGCTGTATAAGCGAAATCTTTGGTTGTCTCTTTGAGTAAGCTATAATAAGCGTTGCTATCGAAGCCGCTCAATGCCGCTTCAAACTCGCTCGCATGTTTGCCTTCTTCCACCATCTCCACTTGCACCACGCTCACACCTTCCGTAAACAAATCTTCCGGTTTCTCGGTCTTCAAGTGATTTGCCGCCTGCTCAGCCAAATCGCGTGTATGTTTGGCGCTCTTATAGCCATGCCATACATATATCACACCCGAATCGCCGTGTATAAGCAACATAGAGGCGCGTGAACGCAACTGACGCGCATGACAGTCCACCTCGCTGAGTAGCGTCTCTTCCGTCATATTGCCAGTGATCTGATAGAGACGCCAGGTATTGCGACGTTGTAGGCAATCATCTTTGCGGCCTTTGTGTTGGAACAGCAATTTGAAGAGCCTTATAAACGCGGGTGTTTCATCGCCCTGTGCTACGCGCTTTTGTGCGCCCTTCTCCTTATCCAACTCTACGGTGAGCAGCGCGGCAGCACCTTTCTCATTGGCGCTGGAATCGTTGCCCTGCCAGCAGAAATATACACAACGATCGCGTCCGACTGTGGCTCGATTGGATATTTTGCCACTCAACTCGCGCACCGTTACCGAAATCTGATATACCCAACGCACAATATAACTTTCGGCAGAGTAAAAGTGTCCGTAACTGTTAGCTTTCGCATTGTCGAAGTTGAATTCGTGTATTTGCCATTTGTCGGTGGATTTAGTGATGACATCGAAGTGACGCATACTGTCGTTGTCGTAATAGAAATTGCCACGCCCCAAATTGGCATTTTCCAACACTAAATTAGGCTCGAGATAAGGTTCGCCTTTGTATAGCGCCTGTCCATCGAGCGCTTTTACGGCATGCACACCATTTATGAGATAATCCTTTTCCAGATCTTCACGTTCCACTTCGGGCCAGTCGGAGAATTTCTCCTTGAAGAGCGAAGTTTCCATATTTTGTGTGATTTTGCCCAAAATACACCAATCACCGCGCTTCTCGCAACGCCGCAAAAATTTATATGACTCGCGATTACCGACAATTGCTGCATAATTAACGGGATTTACATAGCAGCTGGAGTAGTCCACATCGCCGGTGTCGTAATGCTCTTGCGCCAACTTAATGGCGGCACGTTTAGCATTTGTCGACGCTGTCTTGCCATTCCACACATACATTTCGCTACCGAAATCGAAAATAATAACTTTATTGGGATCGAGCATCTCAACTTTCGGTATGCAGCCCCAGTACTTTTCCATCGGCACCAATGAATCATCTTGGAATTCATAGATTTTGTTGGTCTCTATGAGACTTGCTTCGAAGAGATCATCTTCGTCGGCATGCCCACAATCGGGTATTATATAATCTTCCGGTTTGCCCAGCAGCTCCCAGAAATTCTTCCAGTGGCGTTCATTTAAAAATTTGCCATCGGTAAGTATAACTTCGGCTGATGCTGTGCAACCGAGATCTTTATTCTCGACTATATAGGCGCATATTTTCTTGCTGCGCGCAATTTCGATGACATTGGCGTACGAGCCGACATAACGGTACAACTGATCACCATGCACGAGTATGAAACAATCGCCACGATTCACCGACTTATATGTGGGTTCAACCAAACGCGTTTGCACGTGTGTACGGCCCTTAACATGTAGCAGCATGAGTTTCTTATACGGTACCCACATTTGATTAAGCGGCAGCGCGGAGGACTTCAAAGCAACCGACTTGAAATCTTCGACGGATGCTAGCCCAGCGATGGCCTCGGCCGCCAAGTTGCTGCTGCGATGACCATCTGTAAGAGAGAAGTTAGCGTAATCTAAGCGTTCTTTCTTCAAAACGTTTGGACTTCGTTTGTGTCCGTTCGCGTTACTTACATGACTCGAGTTTCAAGCGCCGCATTTCACGTTCAGCTACACCAGACTTAACTTCGGTATACTCGGAAGTGATATCGCTGCGTTCGGCTAAACTCTTGAGTGGGTTGCGTGCTGCTCGTCTGCCCTTCGGACCTTGTATGGTACGTTTTGTAACCAAACTGTAAAAAAAGGAGCAATAAATTTTGATAAGCTGCTGTTAATTTCGAATTTTGACTTTTCAATTTGTTTGACACTTTTCGCTCATCGAAACACAAGCAAAACAAAACAAAAAATGTATTATAACCATCAAAATAAAAAATACAAAAATTAAAATAATATAAGAAAAAACGCTTATACTCACCGTTGTGTCGTCTCGATGCTATCAAAATCGAAATCGTTCACTGCGGCATCCTCGCTAATAACGGTTGTCTGTATGGACGTTTGTTTCTTTGATGCAAAGAATTTCTCGAATGTCTCTTCGTCGTCCAGCTTTGGCACAGTAACACGTGTGCCGAGCGCCGCACGCTCTGCGGCAGCACTCCTTGTGTTCGCCTTATTCTTCGTCTCCTTTTCATTGCAGCGCCCATCCGAATCGGAGTCAGAGCTAGAGTTTGCCGATTCGCTATTCGGACGCTCGGCCGTTACGCTCAGGCTGCGCTGCAGGTAATTGTGATGACCGTAGGTACCACCGTTGGTGCCACCATTTGTATTGGTTGTCACCATCATCGATGGACTTTTGGCGAGTCCAAGTTGTGGTTGATTGGCGCTGACCACCACATGCATGGGACACTTTTTCGGTTCGGCATTTTGTTCGCGCTCAAATTGTAGCTCAATCGGTGACTGTGCTTTCTTTTGCAGACGTCCAGCGACTGTGAACTTGGAGGCATCGGATTGTTCTGCGTAAAGAGTAGGTAAAGAATAATAAAGATGATAAAAAGACAAGCTTTAAGAGAAGGAAGTTCGCTGCAAGAGTATGTTTCGAGGTTGATCTTGAGGAACAGAACAGAGCTGTGTGGGGTTTTGATATTAATAGGTTAAATAAAGTTATCAGTGAGTTTTAGTTCTAATCCTGGACTGAAAATCACTCGATCAATTATATGAAGAATTAAGTGATGGTCTCTAGGTAATATGAATGCCTAAAGATTTCGTACAAGGCTCTTTAATATGCTAGAAATGCAACATGCGCCGCTAATAAGATGTAAATCTAAGTCCTATCCAAATTATGTTGCGAGCTCAACACATTCAGCCGTTTGGATTTTTCATCGAAAAGCAGTAAGACGAGACTGTCTTCTCGTAATGAGATTGGTTTATTCTCTTCTTCTGTCAAGTCTGACCGCACTTTAAGAGTTATTTGACCGGACAAAGCATCGAAATAATGGACTATCCATCGTACATGGAAGATCTCACCCATTTTCGATTAAATATAATACTTCCAGAATCAGTTCAATACAGAATATGTTAACAAAAAAAACTTTTTTTTTTGGTGTTTAGGTTTAAATTTCGATTTAAAAATCTTTAAAAACGTTTACATACCGATACGATCCTTCCACTTCTCCGAAGATGTTTTCAATTTGCCCAAACGATCTGAAACTTTGCCACCCTCCAAGCAATTTGGTATGAGAGGCGATTGCGGCAGTGGTTTGTCCGATAGTGAGTGTGCTAAAGAAAGTGATTCCTGGAATGAAGATAATGAAAATTATGGGTCAATTAAGGTGTACTAAAACTTTTAAACCAATCAAAAAAGTATTTATATGCAAACACCAGTCGGAAAAGAGAGTAAAGAAAGTTAGATGCAGGATAGTACCGGAGTCATATCAGTAGGATAGCCTAACATAATTAATGGGCACATCTAGTGTGACAGCCTAAGAAAGGTGATATTTGGGAATTAAAAAAATAAAAAAAGAGTTGAATTTTACTCAAAATTTTGGTCGGTTTTGGACTGCCAAAATCCTTTTAAAGATCAGATTATGATCTGGTACGTCATTATAGGGAGAACTATATACAGAACAAGCAGAAAAAACTGAATAGTGATGGATCGTTTGCCTCTGAGCAAACAGTCAAGTAAATTTGAAAAAAGCTGTTTCGAGAAAAACGCGTTTAAAGATAAACTGATCATGCTCATTGAATTGAGCGGCTACACTTTAAAGGGTTGTACCTCAAAATCTATTTGAGATATCGATTTAAAATTTTAGTATGTTATTTTAGAGGTATAATCTAACAAAATATGAAATAAAACGATTTTATTTTTTGATTTACCACTAAGTGTACATTAACTCGTAAGTTACAATTTAATAGATGAATTCGTGGAGTTATGAGCAGGGCAGTCTAAAATAGACACAGAAATTGAATTAATAAAAAATCGCAGATCGTTTTCAAGCATATATTTGGAACTTGTAGTAAACTATATGAAAGGCCTATGCAGCCTGACATCCATCCAGTATGTAATTTTTCAAGTATGCACAATAAGAACTAAGTATATGTGTACACTATTATAAACATAAGTGCACGCAAATTATATCAATTTTAATTACCTATCATAAATCGAAAACAAAAGAAGAGGATGTATGACTAACGATTTATTTCAAAATTAACTAATTTATTACTCTCAAGAGTCTAATCAATGGGGGAAAAAGTACGCAATTCTTATCAAATGGCAAATTGTGATAAAAATAATTGAGTGCTAAATATATCAACTATGTAATCAATATGTATACATAATATATTATTGAGAAATAAATATAAACGAACTTAAATAGATAAATGAAAAGTAAATAAATATTTTACAAACATATTTTAATCATAAAGGTTTTTGGCAGAAAAAAAAATATAAAAATATAAGAAAATAAAAATAAAAAATAAGAAAATAAAAATAAAACAATAAGAAAATAAAAATAAAAAAATAAAACAAAAAATAAATAAAAAAAAAGCAACACTAAACTTGTCAGCTTCTGTAAACATATGCGCACTTTCAAAATTTTGCTTATATATCTACTTGTATATTCATATAGATTGGTTTGTATGTACATATGTATGCCAATACACCTGATCGGCTTGAATTTTCGTGTGGGCACTTCGATTGACCCAAAATTGCCACCACTGACCAATTTTCTGTTTCGGTTGTTTGCCTGTTTGTCCAAATTGGAAATTCCATGTCTTCGCATTAGAAATGTTGACAACAACAAGAAGAACAAGCTTTGCACAATTGTACAATGCGAAGGCGTAATTAAAAATAATCACTGAAAATTATTAAGGCATTACAAACACATAAACAACTGCATATATAGATATACAAAATATAATATATGTAAATATATATATTCTCACATATTCAGATGAAAGCATGCCGGTACGAGGGCTGTTTGATAGGTTAGAGCTGGTGCTGAAGCTTTTATTCGATATATGATTGTGATGAAATTCTTTTATTTCCATATTCATTCAACTGAAATCTCATATCCTCTTAACACTGAAGCAAACGATTTCGAAAACGAAGAATAATAGCTGCTCGATCCATCCAACAACCCTCGTGCACATGAAAAATAAATCAATCTTGCCCATTCTCGTCGCTAATGCGCACTTTTATCGTGAATTGGAGAGCGCCCCTTAATGGTTTTCCCCATTTGCGTTTATTTGCAATTTCTATTTTATTTTCAATATTTTTATAGGCCCAGTTAGCATCTGTATATAAATCACTTTATACTGGTTTGCATGCATGCTTAGTCCTTATATGGTCCACTTCGACGATCGAAGCATTTCAGCACCGTGACTAGCTCAAACACCGCGCGCTCTCCACGGACAAGTTACGCTCACAGTTAGTGCATGTGGCAATCACAACAATAACGAAAACAAATCGCATTTGCGACATCGGTTTTATTGCAATAATTTCGCTGACATTTACAAAACAAATTGCAGTTGGCAGCACGCATTATATGCAAATACATTTCAATCGATTATTTTTGGAAATTTTTTTCAATATTTGCTTCGCTTAATTGCTTGTGGCAATAGAGCATTTATGGAAATGTAGTAACCTTGAAACCTTGTTTTTTTTTTTGGTACGAAGCTTTTATTTTTAGTGTATGAGTGAATACGTAGCTAATCGATCTGAATATAATACATATATTTACATACATATATGACGAATGATGACAAAAAAGATTTGACTTAAAAATAAATTTAAAAATAAATCAAATATATATATAAACTCTAGATAGGCTATACTAAGTTTTTCACGCAGTTTGTAAAACCCAGAAGGAAATGTTGGAGACCCTATTAAGTATGTATATTAAAAAATCGTTTACTTTGGCTGCACCGAAGCTACAATACCTTTCACAAATAAAAAAGTTTCCATACGAGAACTTTATTTTGACCGATCGTTGACTGACGTTTATATGGCAGCTATATGATATAGTGGTCCAATCTGGAAAATTTCTTGGAATATTGTAGCCTGGATAATGATCCATGGCAATTTTTGTGAAGATACCTTATCAAATAAAAAAATTTTCATACAAAAACATGATTTTGATAGGTCAGTTCGTTTGGCAGCTATATGCTACAGTGGTCCGATCCGAATTTTTTTTCAGACGTTGTAGCGTTGCTTTTGAGAATATTTTATGTCATATATCGTGAAGCTATCTCGTCAAATAAAAAAGTTTTCCATACAATGGCATGATTTTGATCGTTCTGTTTGTATGACAACTATATGCTATAGTGGTGAGATATCGGTGATTCCGACAAATGAGCAGCTTCTTAGGTGGAAAAGAACGTGTGCAAAATTTCATATCGATATCTCAGAAACTGAGCAATAAGCTCGCGTATATATAGGTGAATTGTGGTAAGGCAATAAAAATATATGTATAAAATAGGTGCCAAACGAATTCATAGTCGAGCCAATGCATTATGTTTCAAATTGCTTCCGCATACACCATAATGTCCCAATATTGCCACAGATTCTTTTACCGTTCTTTGGCCTCAAAAACATCGCTGGACAAAAATTTAGCGACAATGATGAGGTAATCGTCAATATTGGGGATTATTTTAATAAGCATATTACTATTAAAATGGCGTCGATATTTTGGAGGATCGCTAAAATTCATAAATCGTTTTCGATAGACATGTTACGAATCTTTCTGTTTATCTGCGAAATTCTGCTCCCAAAAACCGGCCCTGAATTAAGTATAACTGCACAGTAATGAAGCAGACACCAGGTAAAAATCTATATACATATGTATTAGTACTTTTTAATAGAAAAAAATTATTTTCCTTACAAAGAAAGCAAGTTTAACAAAACGTTTACACTAAAGAATTCTATTGGCTCAAAAATTAAAACTCTATAATTGTTCAACATTTAGATTTGGAAAAAAATTTTAAGAATTTTTTTTTTGTTTTTGTTACCAAAAATTGCAAATAATATATTTATTAAATAATAATTACCAATTTAACCTTCTCCATATTCTTTTTAATTGTTGGAAAACCGGAAATGGAAGTGGAATTCTTTTCACGAAATATTCAACATAAAAACTTGTTGATTGCTATGATAAATAAACTTTATTATGAAACAAAAAGTATTGTTGCATTTCCTTAAAAACGCTCGAATGCTAAAGGCGCGTTGCCGCACCTGTGATCGTCGCCGGGTAACACTTGTCGTTCCGTTGCACTAAATGCAATAAGTCTTGTCTGTTTTTCTTGGCTTTTTTTATGTGTGTGCACTTAAAACCTTTGCGCAAAAGTTAAATATTGTTTTTATTGCCAGCAAATAAAAAAGGGGGAAACCAGCAGTTATCCAAATCGAAAGAAACACGAATTACAAACGCGACAAAATAAAAACAAACGTCGATCGGAAAACAAATGTTTGAACAGTTAAGTCACGGCTTTTTTTGTTTTGCTGCGATTGGCCGAGTCCAGTTTGTTAACGGTTTACGGTACGCGACGCATTTTAGAAGCGTGTGTACGGAGCAAAGCTGCGAAACTGCTGTAGCGTCGTGTTTTTCGCAACTTTTCAGCTTGTTATATGGTTTGCTTTTGGACAAGTACTTCAAAACCAGCAAGTACCCACAAGTATTTGAGCGCATAACTATAAGGTAAACGGCAAAAGTTCTCTCTGTTTGCTTACGAAATATTGCCGAAGTGAATAGAAATAAAAACATTTTCCACAAACTTGCCATCAGTCGTTCCAAATGAAACTTAAACGAGGGGAGTTACCACAAAACGACCAAAAATGAAGACCAGCTAATGCCTGATAAGATAGCGAAAAAGCTCTAACTGCAGCTGCTATCATGAATATAAGGTCGTTGTGGTGAGATAACAGTACGAAAAAAATTAAATCAATAAAAAAATTAGTATAAATACTTTCGCACGTAAAAGTGCAAAAAGCTTCAATGCCTCTCGGCGACTTTTTGATTAAAATGTCGAAAGCAAAAAAAACAAAAAATCATAAAGCAGAAATTAGTTGATTGCGTTTATATTAACACTGAAATGGTTGTGAAATGGATTAGTCATGCGGATATTCCAAAGCGCAAACTTTAATATTGTTCATAAGTATAGTAAACAAATGAAAGACGCATAATATAGTGGTTGCACATAAGGTTAAGAGCAAACATAATTTATTACAGTGATAATTTAATATTTTAAGAAATGATTGATGAATTTGAAATTGTTGTAACACTGAAAAATCGAAAGACA